CAAATTCTATAATCATCAGAGGAATGTAAATCAAAATTATAATGAGGGATCATGTCACCCGAATTGGAGTGATTATTATGAGAAAAAAAGTAGTAGCAAATTCTGGCAAGAAAGTAAGAAAATTGGTCTTGGATACTGTTAGTAGCAATGAGAATTATTACAACTGTAAGGGAAGAGAGTATGGAGAATCTTCAAAAACAAAATAGAACTTCAATATAATACAATACAAAGGAAACGGAGGCCTCCCTCCTCCCTCTTTCCCTCCTTTTATTCCTTCTTCCCTCCCTTTCCCTTCTCTTCTTCTCCTTTCCTCCTCTTTCTCTCCATTCATAAGCCTGTTCCCTCCTCTCTCTAATTTGAGGTAGGGTCTCAATATATAACCCAGGAAGATCTGAAAATCTCTGTGCAGTTGGTTACTAGACCTAACAATTATCTGGGCCTCCTAGATCTAGGCTTATAGGCATCCACTAACTCCATGATCTAGGAAGTGAAATCTTTATAACAAAGACAATACTTTCACCCCCTTGTTTATACTGTGCACAATAGTCAAATATGTAATAATTTCTGTTTGTTGTCAGTGAGTGATATAGCGTGGTGCAGTTCCACAGGGGAATAGCAGTCTGCCATAAAAATGGAATCCTGTCATTTGCAGCAACCCAGACGGGACTGTGGGACAACTATTACTTTAAGACAAATGCCTGACAAAAGAAGACAAATAGCACATATTCTTGCTCAGCTGACAAAATCAATAATCCAACCTTGTAAAGGTATGGAATGGAAGAGTCCTCATTAGAAGGGAGGGAAGGAGAAACTTTTAAAAGTAAGAGTAGTGTTTAAGAACTAAAAATAAGGGTCTAGGTAGAAAATGGTGGAGCACATGATGAATACACAGATAGGAATATGAAGATAAACCTCATTAGTGTTTTTCTACAATTAATATGCATCTTTTAAAAAGACAAAATAAGGTTTATTGGAAATAACAAAAACAATATTATGAAGTTTGACAGAGTAAGTGACATTGAGTTGAACCCAGAATGACCACCAAACATTTTCTAGATAGAAGGAGAAATGGAATGTGTATATGATGTTCAGAAAATAAAACGCTCTCTTTTGGGTTTTTTATTGTTGTTTTTTGTTTTTTAGAGTTGATGCATTGTGTGTGTGTGTGTGTGTGTGTGTGTGTGTGTGTGTAGGTATGTGCTCACTGGAAAATAATGGTCAGAGATGGCATGGTAAACATTGGAAAAGATGGATCACAATATCCTTACAGAGCATGAAACACTAAAACAGTTCTCCAAGTCTGCGTTTTTGTTGTTGATGTTTGTTTTGGGGGGCATAGTGCTTTTGCTTCCTTCCAGATGTATTAAGTCCAAACATAATTGCACTTTAACACAGCACACAGTGTTCTACAACTGACCCAGCACTCTGTTCACTCTGTAGTGTGTGTGGTGTCCCTTCTCTCTACATCTCGGGAGCAAAGCTGGTGGACGATGATGACTGAATGTGGCTCAGACACCTCCTAGAGTGACTTCTGGGAACTTTTACCTCTACTCATGTCCCTGCTCTTGGCCCATACTCTTGTAGGAGTGAACCCCACAAAGCTACCCGCCCAACAGGGCGGGGTCAAGGTAGAGATAAAAGGAAGTGAAAGGAAAAGGGGCTTCCCTTTTTTCTCCTGGAAGCCAGCCAAGCTTCTGACTCCTAGTCCCTCCTATCTGGATTCCCTATTGGCCAGACAGTACTTTATTGACAAATGCACAGGACTTCCCCAACAGACTCTGATGTCAAAAAGTCTTGACATAAATTTGTATATGAACATGCTTTCAAATTGTTAAAAGCAATTCTTCCTGTGAGAGTAATAGCATACAAACAAAACATCCTTATAAAGGTGTATGGCAAGATTCTTATTTCTGCAGCCATGTGACATATCAGTTTCAAACATGCCTCTACTTTCCAGAAATAAAAGTACAATGAGTGAATAAATACTTTGCCAATAAATTCCCTTCTGTGAGTGGCACTAATTATGCAACAGTTTCAAAGCATCAAGAAATAAAAACCTAATGTCATCATTTCCTCAGCAAAATAATTCGAGCCTCAGTAATTCTGTACCCTGTCCCGAATCTGATGGGAAATCCCCACCTCCCAGTGCAAACAAACGTACTGTGATGATTGCTTTAAAACCACTGTTTGACGATTTGGCAATTACCGATGTTGTATTGGTTCTTATTTCATCATTCACTTGGCTTGGGGGCACACTAAGTAGTTTCAGACAAATAACTGCACGCCAACTCCTTACTCAGCACTCTATCAGAAACATTGTGGTCTTGACTTCAATGTCAATTACAGAATCATCTTAATCTGACTACTCAAAACAATGCTTGGAGTGGAGGGTATCAGTACCATTCTGTGGTGAAGAATATTATTCCATATGTCTTTCATGACCCTTTTGCCACGATTTGAAAGCTACAAGATTATTGTTCTAATTTTTTCTTAGAAGTTTATCAGAATCACTTCTTAATCATCATTATTAGACATTTCATTTCAGACGTATTTAGTACAAGCCTTATGTTTTTGGCATGAAGGTAAACACCAAATATTTATCAATATTTAGATGTTTGTTTTGCCAGAATTATGTAGTTTCCTTTTCTCTATGTAAAATGAAAACACAACATTTCCAGTGCTTAAATACTGCATTTGTTCTTATTCCCTCACACATTTCTGAAGTGAAATCTGCTGTGATAACTATCTTTCCTGTCATTATTTATGCCTTGTTCCCTCTTATATTAGATAAAGGCTTATGATTACCATACAAACCCCCTGCATTAGCCTGATTTTTCTAAGTAAAGGTCATTCTTTTTCTTGGATGTATATCATCAAATAATTCATTTGCCTTGCTGCTATGTGTGCTAGCTTAGGACTCTTCAATATAGCACAATCTGCAAACTTCATTAACATATTGTTTACTCTCATTTTGAGGTGATTAATGTGGATATTATACATGAATATAGGTAACATCAATCTCTGTATGAGTTGTTTGAATATTACTTCAAAGTAAAATAATGTTGCACCCTTCCCCATGGGGGGTCTGTCTGCTGACCACTTGTACTAGGAGCTTTTAGCTAAACACTTCTCATCCCCTCATCGCAGTAATGCCTGCTTTCAAGTTCCTGTTTTCCATCCTGTGTCTAAATGCTAATTCCTGTTTTGGAACCACCGTTTGCTTCTACCTTGGGGATTTTCCACCATGCCTGCCTTTGCTATTTAAGGTTCTACCCTTGTAATAATAAATGCCATTCTCCTTGTAAGAATGAGCCTATGTCTTTGTCCTCATTTTACATCGTTAGCCCTTTGCCTCTGATTGTTGTAAATTATGGTAGCGCCATAGCCACAAACACACCGGTAGCTCACTACAAAATAATATTTTTTATCATTACTTGTGATTTATATTACTATCAATTTTCTTTGCTGATGGCATGAGAAAGTTGCATGCAACTTACTTTTATCTTTTAAGTGTCTATCTCAGATTACTAAAATCAAATATGTTCTGTCTGCTGCATTTCTCATGTTCATTCATGGTTTCTCTTTTAAATTGTGGACAGCCCCATCGACATGTAAAATTAATTGATAAATCCAGGTTGTCTTTGCAAGGTGACAGTATCATCCTAGGGAGGTTTGAATATCTGTAGAGATTTTTGTAGGCTTTGTAATATTGCTAACCTTCTTAACGTCAACCAAAAATCTCCATTTGCTTTTCATTTGCAAAGCTAACGTATCCTTGTGACTTTTTAAAATAATACCTCCATCGAATTCATCTTTTTTTTTAACCATCATTTCATTTGGTCTCTAATTTTAATAGTTGCTTGAAGTGTGATTTTTTCTGCTTTGTATATAGGAAAAGAAATGGATATTTGGTACTTAAAATTATTTTGTTTTGTTTTAAGCAAATAGGCAATTAATAAATTGTTTTCCTATCTCTCTTTGCTAGTTAGGGACAGATAAAACAACATGGCTAAAAGCAACCCCAAGAGGAAAGAGTTTACTTCCTCTGACAACATCTAGATCACAATGTGTCATCAGGGCAGAACTCTATAACAGGAACTCAGAGACAGAAATGAATGCAGAAGCCATGGGGGAGTGATATTTACTGACTTGCAACCCATGACTTGCCCTGTCTGTGTTCTTATAACACTTGCACAGTGGGCTCGTTCCTCCGATATTATTAATAATTAAAATGTCCCACAGACTTGCCTACAGACAACCTGATGGAGGTGTTTATCTTCTTCCCAGGTTTGTGTCAAGTTGACAAAACAAAACAAACAAACAAAAAACCCACAACAAAACAGGATGCTCTCTTGGAATTTATAGATTAAAATAATCTAACCACGGATAACATCTAAGCCATTGTTTAAACAGGAATGGCTTTTCCATTGTTATCAAAATATGCTCCACACAGTTCTTGAGTCACATGACTGAAGTAATTCATATGTTGCAAATATATTTTATTTAACTGCAACCTCTTACTTCCTAAGAAATTCATCTCATCACAAATGGGGCAGTTTTGTATGGCTGTAATTGCCCCACACCCCATTCTCCTTCTACAGATGGATTAGGCTAATGAATCACACCCCAACACCTGCTATGTGAGTAAATATAAAACCTGATATCAGTGGTGGAAAACGTGTCACGAGAAAGGGACCCATTTAAGAAGCCTACACAAAGAGATCTGAGGAGACAGAAAGAACTATTATGAAGTCCTCACTGATATACCAGAGCAAAGTCTGAACCATGAGTCTCATCTCTAGGCTGACTAATTTGCATATATGCAAATGTACTTTCCTTCTCTGTAAAGCCATCCAAAACACAGAAGGCCAAAGCATTCTTGAGAGGTATTGAGCATACACTCTGTAAACTTCAGAAGGAATAAATTTGCTTAGATTCTCTCGTTATTACAATTTAAAATTAAACTTTTCAATTAAAAAATAATTATTTATTTCTTTATTTTATGTGCCCTGGGCATGAAACAGCTTTGGCCACCAAGTCAGCCGTTAAGCCAGGACAAATGAAGGACTGCTGTCTGCTCTGCCCTGGTGGATATAAGAACAACACCACCAACAAGGTGTCTCTTTGTCCACTGCTGAGATTAATTATTTCTTTCTTTGTTTGTTTAATTTTTATCATTGGCATTATGTATGGGCATTATGTAGAGGTCAGTAGAAACTACTGAGACTTTATTCTTTCCTCCTACCTTTGTTCAGGAGACAGATCTAGTCAAGCATGGGTCCTTGGGATTGTGTGAATACTTTTACCTTCTAGGTCATTTGGCCACTTTCAATCTTAATATACGTGCCATAAATCACAGAAGTCTACTAAGGACATTTTTGTAACTATTCCAATGTAATGGAAGCATGGTGAATCACCTGCTACTGCTTCTCAAGAAAACGAGGGAGAATGAATGCAGAGGATTTTCATAGCATGCTTAAGCCAGAGCAACACTGGGAGTTGCAGGGGCAATGGGGGGTGGATATGACTAAGATACACTCTACATGAATGATAACTTCAAAAAAGGTAAACAAAGATAGAGGAGAATCAAAACCTGACAATTTTCATGGAAATGAGAGGACAAAGTTTCACAAAGGGGATGGAACAGGCATCAATGTGATCAGCATCAAGAGAATGTGAGTGTTAAAATTCAGTACTTACATGAATTGAATTTTATTTTTAGGCCTTAATAGATACTCTGGTATGCAATGAGGAATCAATATGAAGTAATTATTGAAGAGATACATAAGAAGAGACTAAAAGCAAATGTATCATATACACTATTTAATCTACATCAGCATCTCAATATGAAATTTAGAGAGTATCTTGATTGTCCACTGTCTGCAGTTATACAGTAGTTGGTCTACTTGTTTTCTTTCTGGCCATCTAACAAAGCCACTCTTGTTGTTTGTCCAAAACATGGGTTCAGGGAAGCTGACTGTTTTAACAAATGACTGTGTACCATGGCGAGGGAACGCTAATAAGAATCATCTTTGACCTTGGCAATTAACATAGACTTGAAGGAGACATAACATTTATAATTATTTTAAAATATATGATAACTGACATACAAGTTATCTATGAACAACAAAAAGCAGAAAATAGAAACTATATATTTGCAAATGAAAACCCATTTTAGCAGCATTCAATTTTTATTTCCTTTAAAAGCATTCAGCAATTCTATTTGAAGAGCCCACACAGTGAATTTAGTATCACCAATTCATGTGTATTTCTGTGTGTGAAGCATACATTCAAATGTTCTGCATATAATGCCTTGCTTAATATAATGAATGCTCCCTGTGATGGCTGAATGAGAATGGCCTTCATAGGCTCATATATTGAATCTGAATTCTTAGTACTCAGGGTGTGGCCTTGTTGGAGGACATGTGTCATTGGAGGTAGGGGCTTTTATGTGGGTTCTGGGTGATAAGAATTCAGACGTACATGTTTTAGAGGCAAGCCCTTTATCCATTGAGATACCTCCCTTGCTCTGAAACCACTACTTGTTGATAATTGATTACATATTAATGTCAGCAAAGAAAAAGATTCAGAGGTGGCCTTGTGTATTGGAGCCCATGTCTTAGGAAAAACCACATTCCTCCAAATTCTAAGCTCAAATCTACTGCTAGGTTTGCGTTGGGAATAGGTAGCTTTCTTTATGAAACTGAAATTATTCTTTTATATTTAAATTAGAAACAATTGTATTTTACATATCAATTCCAGTTCTTTCTACCTCCCATGCCCCTCACTAACCCTCCATCGCATCTCCCTCCTGCTCCCCAGGGAGGGTGAGGTCTTCCCTGGGAAATCTTCAAAGTCTGTCATATCATTTGCAGCAGGATCTAAACCCTCACCCTTGTGTCTAGGATGAGAGAGTATCCCTCTATGTGGAAGGAGCTCCCAAACTCCATGTGTGTATTAAGGATAAATACTGTTCCATCATCAGTGGCCCCATAGATTGCCCAGACCTCCTCACAGACACCCATGTTCTGGGTGTCTGGGTGGGAACCTATGCTGGTTTCCCAGTTATCATTCTGGGGTCCATGAGCACCCCCTTGTGCAGGTCAGCTGTTTCCATCAGTTTCTTCAGCCTGTTCTTGACTCCTTTGCTCATCACTCCTCCCTGTCTGCAACTGGATCCTAGGAGTTCAGCTCAGTGTTTAGCTGTGGGTGTCTGCTTCTGCTTCTCTAGGATGGCATATAATGTGGTCATCAATCTCATTATCAGGGAAGGGCATTTAAGGCAGCCTCTCCACTATTGCTTAGATACTTAGTTGGGGTCATCCTTGTAGATCTCTGGACATTTCCTTAGTGCCAGATTTCTCTTTAAACATATAATTGCTCCCTCTATTATGGTATCTCTCTTCTTGCTCTCCTCTAGTTTTTTCCTGACTCAATCTTCCTGCTCCCTCATGGCCTCCTCTCCCCTCCTCTTCTCCCCTTCTGTTTCTCATAACTCCCTCTCCCCTGCCCCCATGCTCCCAATTTGCTCAAGAGATTTTGTCCCTTTTCCCTTCTCCAGGGAACAATGTATGTCTGTCTTCGTGTCCTCCTTGTTTCCTAGCTTCTCTGGTGGTGTGGACTGTAGGCTGGTAATCCTTTGCTCTATGTTTAATATCCATATATGAGTGAGTACATACCTTGTTTGTCTTTTTGTGAGTGTATTATCTCACTCAAGATGGTTTCTTCCAGTTCCATCCATTTGCCTGAGAATTTCAAGATTCTATTGTTTTTTTTCCATTGTAGTACTCCATTGTGTAAATGTACCACATTTTCTTTATCCATTCTTTGTTGAGAGGCATCTAGGTTGCTTCCAGGTTCTGCTATTACAAATAATGCTGCTACGAACATAAGATATCCTTGTTGTATGAATGTGCATATTTTGGGTATTTGCCTAAGAGTGGAATTGCTGGATATTGTGGCAGACTGATTCCCATTTTTCTGAGGAACCACCATACTGATTTCCAAAGTGGCTCCACGAGTTTACACTCCCACCAGCAGTAATGGAGTGTTCCCCTTTCTCCACACCCTCTCCAGCATAAACTGTCTTAGTTTTTTTGATTTTAGCCATTCTGACAGGAGCAAGATGGTATTTCAGAGTTGTTTTGATTTCCATTTTCCTAATGGCTAAGGGTGTTGAGCACTTTCTTAAGGGTCTTTCAGCCATTTTATATTCCTCTATTGAGAATTCTGGATTTACTTCTGTACCCCACTTTCTAATTGGATTATTTGGTGTTTTGGTGACTAGCTTCTTGAGTTCTTTGGAAATCAGCCCTCTGTCAGATGTGGGTTTGGTGGAGATCTTTTTCTCATTCTGTGGGCTGCCATGAGAACATTCATTTACCGATGTCAATATATACCTGAGAATTTGGAGCACATATATTGCAGAAAATGCCTTGCTTCCAACAATCTGGATTCTATCCTGTTCATTAGAATGAGGACCTGGAAGAGCCTTAGATTATAAAAGTTTTCTACAGAAGTCTCATTGGAATAACGACCTCTACAATTCATACTAGCTCAGCTTTTTTACTACTAAGTTCCACCAGGTATTAGCTTGCTGACACCTATGTTTTATTTTCCTATCAATATACTCTACATAATGACTGAGATAGAAATATTTGTCATTGTTACTGATTATTGTTTATTGTGAAATAAACTTAACTCAACATATCAATGAGAAGAAGGAAAAGATTTATGATTTAGGAAAATATAATTACCATGATTGTAAACATGCATGTTTGTGTACACAGTGTGCACCTATAGTGTATCCAACATGAATACTTTGGCTTCTTTTTTCACAAAGAGAACATAAGAAATTCTGCTTATTCCCAAGGACAGTGATCATTATCCCACCTCAAGATAACAGTACATTGTTTGTAAGCATTTACGTCTTTCTAAAGTAAACAATGTTCTTTTACCCTATTTTATCTTTTGTATAATAAAGGAAAGTGTTAAATACCATCAATCAAAATATGGATTTTCAGCTGACCTGAGCTAGTGAGAGATCATGATTCAGGTATGACAAATGGGAAACTGCATGAGCCTGAACTAGACTCCCTTAATGTAGATGACAGTGGTGCGAGTATTACAATATATGGGTCAATCTAATGCTAATGCACAAACTGTCTTAGTGGAGCCCATTCTATATGGAGGTATATCTTGCTCAGCCTAGACACAGGGATGTGGGGGTGGAGAGGTACCTTGGTCTTGCCTCAATGAGATGATGGGACAGAGTTGGTAGACTTATCCTAGGGGAGGCCTTGCCCTCTCCGAGGAGCAGATGGGAGGTGAGAGGGGAATGGGGGACCAGGAGGAGAGAAGAGTGGGAGAACTGGGATTAGAATGTAAAAAATAAATTAATGAAAGATTTTTAAAATAATACATATTTTACACTGAGATCTCTGTGAATTTACATTTCAGGAAACATCCTTGGGAGATTTCAACTTCTTCCCTTAAAAGTTAGAGGGAGCCATTTCGGTGGTGTGCCTCCAGCCTTATGCTATGACATGATTGCCACAGTTTCCATTCAGGTACAGGCTTCTATGACAACACACATTTGCGGTCTTCCAATGCTGGCTGAGAGTGAGTCTCTAAGGAATCTGACTGAATTATTAATAATGAATAACTTCAACATACAATCTTTAAGATGAATACTGCTAATGGTTTAATATCCAGTGCTTTCTAAACTTACAAATATTTCTAAGGTGACACTGCTGACTTTCTGTGTAAGATATCATCTATGATTATTAGGACATTTGTTCCTAAAGATAAAAAAATCAATTCATGGTATCACAACTAAAAATATTAGTTACCTATAAACCTTGGTGTATGCTGTATAACTATATCTGAATTTATAATCAAATGTGCCTGATTTTCATAAAATGAGAACTAGCAGTAGAGTTTTAAATATGAATGATGAGTTGAGATGGCAACTATCTTACTAGTGGTTGGTTACATCATGATAGTACAATTGTAGGCACTGAACCATCACAGTATGTAAGAAGAGTGTCTTTTCTGTACACTATTTCTTATTGACTTGAGGGTCACCAGTGATGCAGTCTGTAAGTGTCTATGATAAAAATGAATGACTAACAATGTAATAA